AGGGTTTAGGGTTTAGAGTGTGGGGGTTCCGGGGGCATCCGTCATGGTTCGGTTCGGACACCTGCTGCTGCTTGCACAGGAGGGTGAGGAGATGCCCCCGGAGGGCGAGGATGACGACGACTTCGATGCTGATTTTCATGGAGCGTGAGGGCACGCTTTCTTGCACCCTTCCAGCAGCAAGTAGTTTACATCATCCCATCTCGACCTTGCAGGCGTCCCTCGGCAGCAGAACCGGAGAGGCCCTATAAAGAATCGCAAAAACCCTCAACCCTAACAGCCCCGCTAGTCTCTAAGTAGAGCCCGAACCGAGTGCCTCCAAGACACATTTGGGGAGTTCTCGAAACTAGGGCCCCCTTCTTTGGGTTCCTTAACGGGATCTATAAGGGTTTCTACAAGGGTACTATAAGGGTCACCATATGGTAGTTCTCTGAATTAGGTCCCTATTTCAGGTCCCCAATCTAGTACGGCACCCTTATAAGAGGGGCCCCAAAAGAGACCCTATTAGAGAAGTATCCATAAGTTCTATTCCCGAAAAGCCCCGAACCCCTAAAGCCCCAAAACCTGAACTCATCAAGCCGTTGGTGGATTGAAAGAGGCTGGGTAGATTTGGTTGCCAGAGGCGGCTCTAATATAGGGGCCGAAAAAATTACTTACACTATCCTATACTATTTTGGGGGTTCCTTGTTATAATTATCTTCGTCTTGGGAACCATTGAGGTTGCAGGGGTTCTTGCGGTTCCCGAAGGCCCCATAGTAGTTCCTTTTTGGGGTTCATATTTAGAATCCTAGAAGGTAATCCCAAACAGGAACTACCATGGGGTCTATGGGTAGGTTCATGTCTTAGTCTCAGCCTTCGTCTTAGCGCTAGTATTCGTGCTCGTATTATAGTATTCAAGTGTGGTATTACGTGCGTAGGTTCTTCTTGTTGGCTTACAGAGTTTCTCGGAAGTCCGCCTGTTGGGTTAATAGGTGCTGAACCGCAGAGGGCAGCATGCCAATAGAGTTTGTTGTCAATTAAAACAAGGAACGGGAGTATGGTACATGATAATGTCAAAGGCGAGATAGCAGATGTAGAGACTGAAAGCGAGATAGCAGATGTAGAGACTGGTCATCTGCCAATGTGTATGTATCAAGCCAACTTGAATGTTCGGACTGCGAGGAATCATCTTAGAGGGAATGTAGGACTGGTCGAAAAGGTTTCGAGGGATTACACCAAAGCCAGTTTGATGCAGGTTGACTAGGTCTGCATGCTGCCTGCCTTGAAACAGTCGGCAGAAGTTTCGATGGACGGAGTGGTCTTCCTGCACCTGGCGAGAACAGACTGCAGTGACAGGACAGGCACCAAAATATGAGCAAGATTGCAAGGCGAATGTTTCTGGATACTAAAACTCATACTACTAGGCGGTATTCAGGACAAAAGAGTTCATTCCTTGTCGATTCCTTGTTCGGGATCATCCGCACTAGCATCCTCTCCATCGTCATCATCATGCCCACCGTGGCTAAGGAAGGGTTGAGCGCCTCCAATCCACCTGCGGTGTTTTGTACAGGGAGCGTCCAAGCTCCGATGGCACACCGAGTGCTTGGAAACCTCAGGGGCCCGTGTGCGCATGTAATGTCGGCCCTCCACTACGAACCACTGCCTCAGTAGATCGCAATAAAACAGCATCCGAGTAGTATGGCATGTAGTGAAAGGGTGGGAGTATGATCCAGGGGTCGGCAAGGATAGTTGACGAATGAAACCTTAAAGCCATGTGTGACTAGACCCACATCAAGATTTTGGCCTGAAGCATTTCCTGCGGAAGCACGTGGGCCCCTGGGAGATGTGGACTTTCAACACAAGATTCTCAGGAGCAGCAGTGACAAGCGACAGGTCCATGTTACGGGTTTATGGGGCTCTTGAAGTTTCCAGTTTCTTGGCGTTCTGCTGGTTGGCTCTTAGGACTTTAACTTTTTGGGTTTCTATATGAACTATAACAGGTAGGCTAAAAGCTTAACTTTTAGGAGGGGTTCAGAAGTCAGCCAAGGCTTGGTCTTTGAAGTCTTCGAGTGGAAGTTTATCTGGATAAGTTAGCAGGGCGCGAGGGAAGGTAAGAGGCGGTAAGAGGGGGTTTAGGTTTAGGGTTTAGGGTTTAGGGTTTAGGGATGATGTGCATGAGAGCATGTGGATGCTGCAGTGCTGAAGCACAGCACTACATGTTGATCCTTCGTGGAAGTAGGCAGCGACACAAAGCTGAGTGCGATGACCCAATGTGGCGCAATTCACCGAATCGCAAAAATATAATGCTGATCTGGCTACCTGGTTTGCCAATGTTGAAGCAGTTCGCGGAAGAAGTTTCTTAAAGGCGCTGGCCCCCCGACAGATGCAGACATTCTTTGCTGGAGCATGACTACTGTTCCTTATGCCCTTCCATCACCGGCCCCGCCTGGGACTTGAATTTCTGTTTGCTATTACGTGTTTTCTACTGTCTCTAGTTTTCTTACTTGTCGTACTTACCATCACCCTGAAACTACTGACAATGATAACGGCTCTCCTCCTGAGTCTCCGCAGCACAGGCCGGAGCCCTACAAAGACTTCGACGACTTTTTGCGAATGCGGCCCGCTTACTCTGCATGCCCTGGACATGCTGGGTGTTAGGCTTGGTGTTCAGTGTGACAGCAACGTCACATCCTCCGCAGCAGCATCCTTAAATTCGTAGCTGTTACTCGTGCTGCTTGCTCACGACCCGATCGGGGATTGGACTCTTTCGGAAATCTTTCTTTGCTGCCTCAGCAGATCCTGTGTTGTATGTCGAAAGGACACCCAGAACTGATAATTGTAATATCGGGTTTCCGAAAGTAGGGGACCCTAATATAGTATCCTAAATAGTAGGATCCGTATTATAAGGGCCCCAAAATAGGGTACCCCTTATTTTCGGAAACTGCCATATCCCTTCAGTGCGTTTGACGAGGCTGCGGCTGAAGAATGCGCGTGAGATTGCAAAGCAGAGATCTGCGTGGCGCTCAGACATGTGGCCGTGGTAAGCCAGTACCCATAGGCCTCATAGTAGTTCTTTTTTGGGATTACCTTATAGGATTTTAAATATGAGCCCAAAAAAGGAACTAGTATGGGGCCTATGCGTGAGCATGTAAGCAGGTATGCATGACCCTAAACCCTAAACTCGCTTTTTCATGGTGGGCCCATTGCGCGCGCGACCGCTCGCTCCGCCAGGCTCTCGCATCGACCGAGGGTGTCGACGGCCAAGTATGCGGGGCACCATTCGGCGCTACTCTACGGGTTACGGTAAGGGTTAGCAGTATGGGGACTAGTCTAGCAAGTACCTATGGTTTGTTGACGATATTCCTTTGGGGGGTTTTAGGCACCATAAACCTTACTAACCTGAAAACGCTGGTGATTTCTAAACTGTTATGCGATGCTAAGTGTTTAGGCGGCTGCGCTAGGACAGAAGAATGTTCCTGCTTGAGGGTTTAGGGCTTATGGCCTAAAGTTTAGGGGTTTAGGGTTTAAGTGCTGCGAAGGGCTTCCAGGGTCCAACTTCCGGGCGAAGTCGCAAGCCTGCTGCAACAACGGGTTTAGGGTTTAGGCTTCGTAGGCGCGCATGTACAAGTCCGTGCGTAAAATTGCATAAAGGGGAAATAGGGGTAAGGGTTTATAGCGCATGGCTCATTACCGTACGGTCTTGCAAGCTTTTGTCTCACTATTGTTTCCTCCCTGTGTGACTTGAACACGTTGCCGTGGCTTCAATGACTTGATGAACGAAAGTGGCAGCGGGTCCAGTAAGATACTCTTGACTGAGGCTCCCTTATCACTTTATGCTGCCAGGCTCACGGGGATTGTAGCAGGAGCCTTGCTGATTATGGCATTCTCGGACAACCACTCGTGCACATACATATATCATACATATGTATATATATATATATATATACAGTATAATTTACATGCACATGTTTGCAAACGGTAATTCAAAACCAAAATAATCTGATCAGTAGGCTGCCAAGTAATTCACATTAATCTTCCTTCTGTGGGGTCTCACGAGCTCCACGCTAGGAAAACGTGAGGATGGATGTCAAGGGCTACAGGGAGACCCAGGAAAGGCAGCAGTGATTAAAAGGCATTGTTTTTTAGCTTTTCGTAGCGTGTGAGTGTGTGTGTGTGTGTGTTAATCACATTTTTTTATATAAAGCACTACAGACCTCCAACATCGTAGGGCCAGACCGGTTTTGAAACAAGGTTTCCCTGATTCCTTCGATCGGGGTGCTAGCTCAACCTAAAAGAATTCAACCAGCTCAGAAGAGACTTAGAAAAGTGTTCCAAAACCATCAGGTGCGACACCCTAAATCGAAAGCCCCATTCTCTACCCCAGAAACCCTTCAGTCTTTCGCAAAAGAGCTCCTCGCCACTTCTTTCTATTGTAGGTGCCCAAGTTGTTCACCCTGTCCATTTTAAAGTAAGCTTCTAAATCCATAAACCCTAAACCCTGAAACCCTAAACCCCCAAAGCCTAAACCCGTAAACCCCAAACCCTAAACCCTAATAAAGCTAGTCTGACCTACTCCTTGCATAGTCCCGGGCAAGCCGGCCTGTAACTGGTTTCACGCCGACTTGCAACTATGGAACCTCGCCTGGCATGTCCGAGTTGTGAGAGCGTAAACCCTAAACCCTACCTTAACCCACCAGAACCTATTTTTGTTAACCTACTTTTTTTGTGGGGTCCCTATAAATCCCATATTAGGGTTTATAATATGATATTATATTAACAACCTACAAAAAAGTGGGTTTTGTTAGGTTAAGGTAGCCTTCAGGTCAGAATAGACGTGATTGACGGCTCCATCGATCCGTCCTCCGTAAGGCCCTTAGGCTGGCGCAAGGGCTCTAGCAACAGGTTTACGGGTTCAGAGTTTAAGGGGTTTGGGGTTTATGGTACAGTTGCTTAGGGGTTCAGAGTTTAAGGGTTTGGGGAGGTTTTAGGCGTTTCGTTTTGAAGCACTTGCGGCCTACTTACCGAACCTTGGCGGGGCCTCTTTCGTGTGTGTGGCTGAGGCAGGAAACTTAGCATCCTGAAGATCCTAAACCCAAAGCCCGGGATAGATCGCAAAGCTCTTGCGTTGGTTGCGAAATCCTTCTGGGACGTTGGACGTTGGATGGTTCCGCTGAATTGAAAAATCCCTGGAGCTTCCTTAGGGGATGAGTAGGTAACCTTTAACCTTTGGGGGGCTTATATCATTCAGAAGGTTGCCCTGAACCTTTTTTGGTCTACCCTGAACCCTTAAACCCGTAAACCCCTAAACCCTTAAACTCCTAAACTCTAAACCCCTAAAGCCCAAAGCTCCTAAACACTAAACCCTAAACCCTTACGTAAACCCTAA